ACTCCAATATTTTGGATTCTCTGAGAAACTTCATTTAAATTCACGATGTTCAAGAGTCTGTCATTTACTTCCTTAAGCATCAAGCATATACATTTCGATAGTTTGTGTGTTGCTCCATGCTTGCTGTTGACTATTAACCTTAGCAGTTCCCCTCCCTTGTGTATCTTCGGTAGTCCGTGTGCTATCAGTGGTCTTGCGGCATTTTTATTAACGAATTCATCATTTATCTGTCGAGTTATCCGTTATTATGCATTTCCTTCAGTATTCCCTTGATCTTCATTGTTGGATCTCTTCTTACTATTTGATACATGTTCCGGCAGCCTATGATACTTTCAATTTTCTCCATGTACCGTTTCCTGTTCATTATCACCGTCTCACCTCCCTTACCCACCTGAAGAACTATTTGGTCATTCATTTGTAATTTTATACGTATCCTCATCAATCCATTTAGTCATGATGGGACAAAATTCTCGGGACTAATTCAATTTCCATTTCCCGTTTGGTCTCTTCTGGGAATTTCTCCGAGATGATGATAACTTATACAAGGATATATTCTCAAATGTTCCCTTCGTTACCAAGTGAAAAATTTAACCCTTTCTTCAGGAGATCCACCGTTTCGGAATCAAGAGGGATTGATTATATGTTTACTAAATTATCCCTATCGTAGGTAACCGTAGATGAATTCAATACAGCACCAACAAAATTGGCCAGGGTTGGCTTGATTTTGTGTTGTCTTAATCTTGCGTTGTCTTATTATCCCATATCTAAGCAATTTCTCGTCATGCCACTTGTCCAATACCGGACCTTGTGTGCTAAGAATGGCAGGGCTCATTGATGATGGCGACAAAACGTATGTGAATGTACCAAGTCCACGGTCCAACTCTGCAAATTATCGTGCATACTATGGACTCCGGACAAGCTGCGTTCCTCTAGGTCATCCTACCAATATGACCGAGTTGCGAAAACAAAATCAAACAACTTCTATACAACGAAAGTTGACCTCGACCATGCAAAAGACCACACCATTCTGGTCCTCATATCTTCATAATCTATTAGTTCGATAATCGTTCTTAAACTAGAGATAACATCTAGTCCCACACATACCTGGACAGAGACTCATTGAGAATATTATATATATATATATAGGAAAATGTCTACTTTAGTTGTGCATGCATCCTATGAATGACTATACGGAAATTGTTTTGGCAAAACAAAGCTTTGTAGATATGTAGACAAAGATGGTCTAGCTTTCTGTTTTATTGCAATCTCCTTTAGCTTTATAGTGTTGCTTAGACCTTGTTTTCGCAACTTGGTCGGAGTGTCAGGGAGACCTTGTGAAACGTACATAGTCCCTTGTCCTTTGTCATAGTATTCGTGATTTCCAGCATTGGACCATTGGCTGGGTACATTCCTAAACATTTAGACGGCAACGTAGTCACTTTGTCACTTTGATAACTTGTAACTCTGTGCTTATGATGACGCCTCTCAGTAACGATGCCCGCGAAACGTCTGGGAATGTACCCAGCCAATGGTCCAATTCTGAACATCAGGAATATTGTGGCAGAGGACACGGGACTAGGTACGTTCCACAAAGTCGAACCATCAAAATATAGCTTTATATTATTCGTAGTGGAATTCATGCAGAGGTCAAACAAATCCGAGAGGAAACAGAGTACCTGGTTTGTGAATAGGCCTGGCGTAGAATAAATTTAAGAATTTGCGGAGTCTCACCAAGATATTTAATGAACAGATTCTCCGCCAAGATAAGCATTTATACAATAGCAACTTTACATAAGTGCACCAGCACCACTAGAATCACAAAAAATATATTACAGGTTCGCCGGAAGGCCCATACCAAATGTGAGCTCACAAATATTTTTTATATTTCTTCTGCCAATTTAGGATGTCAAAAATATGAGTTAAGATTCCTTTTATCATCTAGTCCCAATAGCTTAGGGTAGACTAGGCCTCTAGCATTCAAAAAATGAATACTAAGAAGTATTGTGGGCTATAAAACGATTTTGCTATTTGGTTGTTATAATTTTTTTATGAAAACCAAAACCAATTTTTTAGTTACCGTCATAATTATTTCATTGCATCTTTACCAAAACGTTACGTTTTCAGGTGAAGTATTGTGCAAGATTGTCTTTTGAGCCTTAAAAGGAATTAAATTTTCAGGCTAATATTTCAACAACCAATACAAGATCTTAAACATAAATTAATATGAGCAAGCAGATTTTAGCTTTTTTGATCTCTATAGATCAAGTAGATCCTAAAAAGGAAATTACCTAGCCAGAATTCAGCCGTTAGACTTCAGGGATAAGAAATACATGATGATATACATTGATTCGTCTTTTATGAGCATATTTGCGGTGATATTCCTACGAAATCCCTAAGGCAAATTAGTGCAAATGGGATACGTTTAAGTAGTTATCATAATCACTTTATAAACTAAACGAAAAAGTAATAGCTAACTAAATATAAACATCTAGGAAGTCCTTTAAATTAATTGTTATTGGTGGAAATAAAGAATAAGACAAAAAACTGAATTAACGTGTAAATAAAGGAGCGAAGATATCCTCGTAAAATTATTTTTATTTAAAATATGCTAAAATACAAAAAATTAAAAGCCAATACTTCAAAAATTTATAATATAGAATAAATATAGGCTTGCTCTAGTTAAGAAATGAATAAGTTTACACAAAACAAAAGATTTAAGGAGCTTTCAAGTAGCAGAAAGGATACAATGCATCGCATATAAATGCGCATGCAGGTTTTTAAGGTTAAAAAATGCCACGGTAAATTTGTCAAAACTTTAGGTAGTGACTCGCAAGGAAATCATGTCTACCGAAATTTAATAGATAAACCTCTATATAATAACTTTGATATTATATGGGTCCGACCATTTTTCTGCTGTTTGAAATAATTACCTCAAATTTTCCAAGGTTTAAAGCCACTAAAGTCCTGAAATTTTTGTATCACATACATTCAGCTATAAGCATATATTAAAATTAAGCTTAACTTAACTAAATAAGAAAGATAGTTTTAAAGTTTGAACGATATGCACCGAGACTCTATCGGAAATATATGAAACTCGGACATTAGAATGCGAAGCAATTTCATTTTGTGCCGTCGTCAAAATAATAGGCGGAGGATAGCAAAATAGTGGTCACAATCATTATGCTCCATATTCAGCGTTGAAAGTGCAGATTGCACAATCAAACATTTATAAGTAATCGATCTGAATATAAAAACTAGGTCTTCAACAACTGTCTCGCATATCACATTATTCTAATTAAAAATACATCAAATATAGTACAGAATTAGCAGTTATTGTAATTATGTTAAAAATTGCAACCTAAGTTTGGGTAGCCGGATGTAAAGTTATTACGGCATGCTTATAAAGAAGACAGGAATTAAAGTTAGGAATCAATCATGTTTGCTGAATGGACTAGAATTAAGAATAAAAACGAACCTTTTAATACAAAATTAGTGATAAAAAGAATGATACATAGAACAGAGTTAAAGTACGCTAATAAAAATAATTTAATCCTTGGGAATCTCTGAGTAGAGTACTCAAGTTAAAAATAAAACAATGATGCTTACGGTGTGTAACAGAGATTTTTTTGCTTAGCAAGATAACTTTTTAAAATTTCATCCGTTGGATCAATACATAATTTGTTTTTTTCAATGTTTTCAATGCCCCATGAAGAGTCTTTTGGAATTAACGACAAATCTATTGAATCTGATATCCCCTTGTCATGAGGAGGAATTATTTGAGCGCCATTATTCCAGAACACCTTGTATCCATTGTCATCTTTTGGATTATGTGATGCAGTAACCATGACCCCGCATGCAGAAGAAAAAAAAGTCACTCCAAACGAGACGAAAGGAGTGGGGCAAAAATCACGGAAAATAAGCGCCCTCCAGCCCCCTTCGATGAAAACTTTGGCAGTGATATAGGCCCATCTAGCATAACAACAGTAAATGGCTCACTTCTTGCTATTATACCTAGCATCAAAACCAATAATAATAGAATGTGACTCAGAGCTTGGAAAAAATGACTGGCAATATGCGAATAGACCCTGAGCAGTCTGAATAACAGTTAGATCGTTCATATGTGAAAAACCTGCTCCCATTTTGGCCCTTA